TACATTTCCACAGAATGAGTTACATTTTAACAGAATGCCTCGATTCAAGTACACTTCCACAGAATTCCTCATGTGAGTTACACTTCCACAGAATTCCTCAATTGAGTTACACTTCCACAGAATTCCTCAATTGAGTTACACTTCCACAGAATTCCTCAATTGAGTTACACTTCCACAGAATTCCTCATGTGAGTTACACTTCCACAGAATTCCTCAATTGAGTTACACTTCCACAGAATTCCTCAATTGAGTTACACTTCCACAGAATTCCTCAATTGAGTTACACTTCCACAGAATTCCTCAATTGAGTTACACTTCCACAGAATTTCTCAATTGAGTTACACTTCCACAGAATTTCTCAATTGAGTTACACTTCCACAGAATTCCTCAATTGAGTTACACTTCCACAGAATGCCTCGATTGAGTTACACTTCCACAGAATTCCTCAATTGAGTTACACTTCCACAGTATGCTTCAATTGATTTACACTTCCACAGAATGCCTCGATTGAGTTACACTTCCACAGAATTCCTCAATTGAGTTACACTTTCACAGTATGCTTCGATTGAGTTACATTTCCACAGAATGCCTCGATTGAGTTACATTTCCACAGAGTTCCTCGATTGAGTTGCAATTTCACAGATTAAGTTACATTTTAACAGAATGCCTAGATTGAAGTACACTTCCACAGAATTCTCCAATTGAGTTACACTTAAATTTGTTATTATTAGGTATACCTTTTTATTAACATGAACTTTACATATAATCCAAATATAAATGTTTCTTTTGAATATATGTATTAAAAGCACCAGAATTATGGAGGTGTAGCTGTTCCAATTCAGGATGCTAACTGACTGTTTGTTAAATCGATCATTAATATTAATGAGCTAACAATGAATATTAATGAGTTAATGATTATTCTGAGAATTCTTACACATGCAAATAATACTGTAAAAAAGAATTTTACAATATATATATTATCGAAAAATTAAATGAAACAATCTGTGTATATATGGGGTAGAACAAATGAATTTGTCCCATGATATCAGTATTATAAAGCCAAGATATCCCAGCAATCCAGCAATAATAAAGTAGATCTGAACAAATTACAAAATCAAATAAAACAACATTTTTGAAATGTAAATGCTACAGACTAAATATTGCTACAAATTTAACAATGTTGCCATGTCTTGGAAAAAAGTCAAATAAAACACATTTGAAATGCTGCAACCAGGAATATTTTCATTAGTTTTGGAATCTTATTTACCACAAAAACTCATTCCTTCAAAAAATCAACTACATAATTATTTAGCAGTGTTCTCCCCAGGATTTTGTTCAAGGATGGTGAACAAGTAAACAAGAAAATCAATAAATCATAACACAATATTATTTTTTGACATCAGTATTGGACCATTGTAAATATTAGGGCATTATTTATTAATTTTTTTTTATAAAAAAATCCAAAGGGCATGTACCCGTTCTTTTACCATGAATTTGAGAGCAAAACTACTACATTGGTCATTGTTGTGCAAAAATATGTAGGATTCTTGATTAATTAAAAATTAAAATATCCCTGCCTGTAGAGGAAACCATATAATGAGTTCTTGAACACATGGAATGGCTAAATTTTAGTTTCATATATTTAGAATTTTTAATGCTGGTAAAATTTTGGTACACATTTGTACTTTTATGTTATTTAATTTTATTTTTCTTATTGTGTTTGGGTTCGTATAAAATACATGTCAATTCTTATTTTAAATGAGCACACAGGTTTTATTTAACAACGGGAAATTTATTTTCAGGTATATATCTGTTATTTAGGATTCAAGCCATATGACGAACACATGCACTCATACATATTCATTGCGTCTCCAGTATGTCCTGTCAATGCAACAAGTCTGCATATTTAAATGCCTTTGTCTTTTGTCAGATTTTCAGTGATGCACTGACTGTATTTTAGTTTAATTTAATAATACAAAGAATGCTTACAAAGACCAATTGTTTGATTATATTTGGCAGCTGGGAAAAAAAACAAAATAACAGAAATATTACTCCATATTGAATCTTCAAATATTCTATTAATTCCCAGACAACAAAATCATGATTTATTAGCATACTAGTAATTCACACTTGTACAAGAACTAGTTTTACAACTACAATTTACTTACTGTAAGTAGTGCATTGGCACTTGCATGGTTTCCACTTTTTGTCTTACGTTTGGTGTCATAGTTTCATTTTGGAAGAAGCCGAAATGCAGGGAACAGTTGACTGCAACAGGAAGGAGGCATTGGCTACAATTCAGAATCTTTTTTTTTCAAGTTTACACCAAGATGACTTATTATACCATTTTTCTTTTATTTTTCAGGGCAAAAGAAACTAAAAACATAAATGTGTAGATAGGCACTTTAACAGAAATATACACATGGCAGGAGACATTTTCACAGTGAAATAATAAATGGTCTGGAGTAAGGTCAACTAACATGGACTATGACATTCTATTAAAATATGCTGTCTAACACATCAGATTACTGTAAAAACTGTATTAGAAACCGCGGCTTCTATTAAAATGGTACAATGCAACAGAGGGGATGCGGCTTCTATTAGAGCATCTACACATATGAGAAATGATGAATTTTTGGTTCTCAGATATTCAAAAAGAATAGGTGCGACTTCTATTAGGGATGCGGCTTCTAATACAGATTTTACGGTACACATCCAATGACACATCTTCATCATCTTCCAAGACCATACCATGTTATTGTTTCAAGTTTCAGAATGGGAAATAAACATTTTCCAATAACCACAATAGTTATAGAGAGAAAAAATAACATATTTGTAGGCCATGCCTTTTCATAAAAGCACCAGCTGAAAAAAAACAGCCAAAAAGGATGCTTTCAATTACTATAGAAACCATTCAGTAATGGCCCGCAGTCATTGGCCGATTTACTACCATGCATCTCTAACAATTTTGTGATTGGCTGGCTGTTTTCAACTATCATTTGAAATTTATAAAACATTTATAAATCTTTTATATGAAACAAATTCATGCCTTCATTAAATTCATTATATGCATATGAAGTATATTTAAAATAAATTATTTCTATTAAATTATCAAAATAAATCATAATAAATTTAGTCAGTAGATCGAAATCTTGTAAACAGCAGGTAACATTGAAGCCAGAATAATGCCAATGTACACTGCCCATGATATGTTACCATGGCAATAAAAGCAGCAGCAACACAGAAACCCCAATTAGTTACAGTTATTGAACTTATTATAAAATAAAATTAGCAAAGAAACACTTTCAAATAAATAAATAAAACAAAGTATTTTAAAACAATATTAATGTAAGAACGTTTTGTAAACTTGAGTACTGTTAACCTTGTTTCAGGTGATCCAGGTGACCTTAAGTGTCTATCCTTGACCGTTTTAAAGTAGGCCGGGGTCATGTTAGGTCAAACAATGGGTCAGCCATTTTTTTAAGCAACTGTTTAAAATGATATTTTTTTTTCAATCAAATGTTTTTATTCTTGTTTAATATAAAACAATATTCATATTTGCTGAGAAATATATAGTATAAGTCTTCTATTTCGCAACGTTTCTTTCGCGAAAGTCGACTAAGTACGAGTGTTTTTTAACAAAGACTAATTGTTCACCACTCGCATGAGCACAGCGCGGTATAGTGTTATGTAATCAACGTATACAATCACACGTACACACGTTTACCTGATTTATCCTTTTGTCCGATATCTTTCGGCCACTTGCTCATTGGAGATATCACCGAATCTTCTTTCACTTCCAACTTTAACATTTTCAGACTCCTACATTCGATGATTTGTGCAAGATTTCACACAGAAATCGGCCAGATTCACAGTTTCCCTCAGTCAAACGTGTGTGTTGACAAGCATGATGACTTCATTGACAAACATGTTCGTTCAATCATTCCTCCAATAATGTAGGGTTACCTAGCTTAGTGAAAGCGATTAAGTTATTATCATTGTGTCATGGCTGACCACCGATTATGTAGTACGTTAACTGTCAATAGTGCATTATTTATACTTACGTAGAATAATTACGTAATAATTTAGTTTGATTCGCAGGAACAGTACATTTTTATGCGGCAAAACCGAAACTTCGATTCATATAGAAACTAGTTATTATTGACTTAAAGGGTCTTGAAAAGAAATGAGCAGTGCCTGACACCTACGCGTTTTTAAATTTATGGACCAAGCTGATGATGTAATAGTGGGTTGTTGACGCACATCTGAACTAAATAAAGCCACACTGACAACAGTGAGTATACCAGGTGTTTTTGTATAGTGTCTGTGGTTATTGAACTCACTTTTCAAATCGTGCGTGTAACGGATTGTATCCAAGGTCGATATACTTTTGTAAGTTTAATTAATCTAGTTATCAGTGTTAGTCCCCATTAATTAATAATTACATAATGTTTTATTAATTTCCATTGAAAGAAATTATTTTTAGTTTAATAATATTATAATAAAAGAAATGTCAATTTTCCTATTGTATATTGTATATTGTTTTTATAACATTTTGTCTATGATTTGTCCTTATTCTGATTGTCATGGTAACAAGGAAGGATATAGATATGCCAAAGGTCATATACTACCTATATCCTATTGGACTCACAGATTAAATTAAATCGTCTTTTAATGAGTACAATATGAAAGCATCACTGTTCTCAAAATCTATTTAGAATATAAAGAAACAAAATAAAGAGAATGTTCATTACTTTAAATGAAAGAATTATGAAAAAAATCACCTCACAGATTAATTGTATTTTTGTCACTACTTTTGTTTTTATTAAATAAATGAATTTCTGCAGATTAGTGATGTTTTTTGTGAGAATATAATATAGGAGAGAGTTTCTTTTTGATGTGTTTCGTATTTTTAGTCATATCAAAAGGAAGCGCATTTCATCTTCTATGTCATGCAATGAACAATGTCTACAAATCCTATTTTCTAATGGTGTTTTTGATTGGGTGTGTCTTCCTTTTTCAATTGTTAAATTGTTATTACTTGTTCTGAATCTAGTTACAGAAATTCTTTGTTTTGAATTTTTTTTTGAAAAAAAAAATGTGATTCTATTAGAGGGAGCCCAGAAACTATAATCCAATGTGTACCCAGTCTATGTATCTAGTGTGTAAAAATAGACAATGGATGAAAGTACAGCAATCCAAAAAACGTGAAAAAACAGACTAAAAGAAAGTAAAATTCATTTAGAATAAACAAGTTTGATGACTTATTACTTACTCTTTCAAATGCCTTACCTTAGTTGAATATATCAGAAAAACTAAAATTAACCTCTTCAGAGTGGTGTGTATGGTTTTACCAAAACTGACACAGTTGGAGGCGTGGCCTATTTAGAATTTGTCATGCACCAATCACAAGACAGGTTAAAAACCAGACCAGGGTCACAAACCAATGAGCTTTCAGAGTAGACATTCAAAATCATGTGATTTGATACTCTATGAAAGTTGGTCAGATCGTTGTGAGGTTTTGACAATAAAACAAAATGAATAAATAACAGAAATAAAAGTAAAAATATAGCTGCGTTGCAGCAATGTCGGGTTTCGAGCCCACTGACTTATTAGCAGCGTTCCAAAATCAGCATCATTGACAATAATATATTAAAGGAAATTGCATGGCCTTCATACTAAACATGTTGCATGTTCCAGTCTGTAACAGTGCATAAGGTATTACAATCTTGCATATTTAATGATGTCCCATGACCATATATGGTCATCGGATGTTTTTGTCAGCTCTGTTGTGCAATAACTTCAATATTGCATTGGTTGCATTTTCCTATCTGTAACAGTGCTTGAGATATAACATTTATGCATATTTGATGAGGTCACATGACCATATGTGGTCATCACATTAGTTAGTCACATCTCTTGTTCCATAGATTCGATATTGCACAGGTTGCAT